TTGTTTATCTTAAAAAATAAGAATTAATAATTAATTCAAGACAAATTTGAAATTATAGAGTGATAATTATTTCTAAAAATTTAAATTAAGGATGTAGGTAGTACATTATTCTATTTGTCCCAAAATAATTATCGCTCTATAATTTTAAATTTGTCTTGAATTGATTATTATTTTTTTATTTTTTATGATAAACAAACATATTCTTTTACTTTAACCTTATTATTATCTACAATATCACATGTCCTATAAAGAGAATTAATCATTAAATAATATAAGATCCACTTTTTAATATTTTAAATAACATAACATTAGTTAAATTTTAATCTCAAATTTTAGTCTCAAATTTTGGTCATATTTATCATTATTCTTAAAAAAGTTCTTTATTTTTATTTCTTTTTTAAGGATAAAATATGTAATAATAGAAATTGTTTCTAAATCCTTAATTTAAAGATAAATTCAAAAATCTTTATTATTTTAAGATAGAGAATATACATTTTAAAAATTTTTACATGTAAAATATTTTTTTAATTTTAATTTGATAAAAATAATATTATAATCTTAATTAATTAACAAATTAAGCTAACAATCTTAACTATTTATCATTAGTTTTGATTAATTTTAATTTAGTCCATTTAAGGACTTAGGTAGTAAATTGTATTGTAGAATGGTTTGAATGTAAAACTTAATTGAAAATTTTGTGAAATTTTTGGGGTTAAAGTGTAATTTTTTAAAACTGCATATACCACATAATTGGTGCCACATCAGCATCCCATAGGATTTCCATTAAAAACACTAACGGAAGTTTGTTAGGTAGATGAATTTGAAATGATTTTCAAAGTTTATAGGTGATTTTGAAAGAAAGTAAACTTTCTAAACTAAAATAAAAAGATAGTAATAGTTAGTAGATGAAAAATTAAATTTAGCCGATAAAAGTTACTCATGCTCCCTTATGGGACAACTTGAGGTAGGATTTTTTTTTTTTTTGGCCAAATTTAAAGTAAAATCCCTCTCTTGCCCCTTCTTCCTCTTTTCATTGTGATCAACCTCCCAAGCTTTCCTCATTTTGCTGATCTTTGCATTTCAGTACCACTCAACCGTTGAGGTTAACCGTTAATCATTTGGGAGGTCTCTGATCTACCTTCTTCTTTTTTGTTTCTAGTTTTTTTCATTAAGTACAAAACTCATATTATTTGCCTTCTCTCATTTGTAGTGATTCTTGTGTATTTCATCTTTTCTAGCATTGAGCTACTCATTTTGGTAAGCCCCTAATCCTTATCTATGGATTAGATACTGTTTTGCTCTTGATTTTGATGTGTATTTTGCTATGGTTTGATTATCCTATGGGATTTTGGCTTGATTTTCTATCCTTGTTACTTGCTTATGTCAATCAAAGTAGTGCTAAGGAACATCTCTTCAAATTCTAATGTAGGTTGGAGTTGTCTTTTCATTTTGATAGCTCATATTGGCTAGAAAATGATGGGTTATTGTTGGATTTGAATTTTAGCTTCTTCTTTTTTCTTTTTCTTTTTTTTGGAGAAAATTTATAGGCTTTAGTTTGTCTCTGTAATTTTCTAGGTAATAAATAGAAGTTGGATCGATGTGATTTTATGAGGCATACTTTCTTTTACGTCCTTTGATTTTTGTTCTATTAGTGGTGTTTTAAGGTTTTAAGCTTTATTGGTGAAAATACTTGCAAATGTTCCAAAGTTAGGTTTTAGCAAACTAGACTTCAATGTTATGCTAATCCATTTTTACTATTTTCCTATAGTTATTATTATTTTTTTTTAAGTATGGTAATAGAAGGGTGTCATTTGTATTAAAAGAAGACAAGGAGGGAAGAAGAATTCTTGGAAGTATAAATTGTGAAATGGTTTTGAAGTCTTCTTTGCTCACTGTTTTTTCTTTTTCAAATGGTTTAAACACACTTTAATAAATTGCTCGATGACAAAGTATAGAGTATTGACTTCAAATTTTTGTTTTTTCTAATGTTTTGCATTGCCTCTAGTCTAGAGAATTCACTTCTTTTATATGGTAGTCTAAGTGCAACATTAATGACTATACATTAATTCTAAGCACATGGATTTCTAATGAGAATTTTCAATTTATATGACATTTATTTATGTTATAAATGTTTTTACTACAGAAATGGATAACAAAAGAATAAATATTCTTCTTTAAGTGCTTGTGATTGTTTTAACTATGAAACAATTGTATTTATAGTGGGTTGGAATGGTAGTTTCATTTGTTGTGATACTTTATGATGTTGCAAGACATTATAGCGAAAATGATAGTGACAATGATTGTTCTAGAGATGAATGTTTAAATTCTCACTCAAAGATGCAATACATAGGCAGATTGGTTGATTGTGATGACTAAACTTGTGTAGAGCAAGTTCAAATAAATAGGACTACATTTAATAAACTTTATGACCTTCTTCACACTAAGGGTAAGCTAAAGAATAGTGGTTCAATTTCAGTCAAGGAACAAGTTGTGATGTTCCTATACATTTTAGGACATGATAAGAAGAATCAAGTTATTAAACTTGACTTTATCTAGTTAGGGGAAACTGTTAGTAGGCATTTTAATAAAGTCTTGAATGCTATCATAAGGTGCAATGAGTCCCCAATTTTAGTGCTAAAACTTGTTCTTGAAGGATATATCAATAGAAAATGGAAATGGTTTAAGATACATTTAGTTTCTTCAAATAATTTAATAATTAACTTATTTTACATTATTAATAAGGAAATCTTTAATGCACTTTCTTTCTTTCTTTTTTTCTTTTATAGTAGAATTGTCTTGAGGCATTATATGGAAAACACATTAAAGTAAGAATTCCATTAATTGATAAGTTAAGATACTAAAATTAGAAAAGAGACATAACAACAAATGGATCAGGTGTGTGTTGACAACCACACTTAAAATTTCAAAATAATGAAAAATTAAGTGTAAAAATATGAAAAAAGGGAGTCGTCACTCGTCCAAATTATAAGGTAGAACAAGTCACCTAAAATGGGTCTGCGCAAAGATCGAGATTCGAGGGTTCAATTATGAGTGAGAAAGGGCATATGCACACCTCACAATCTTCTGTTTAAACACGGTTGCATACTTTAAAATTGGAGTTTTAATTCAACTTATTTATTATATTTATGTTTGAGTCTTAATAAGCAAACTTGAAAAAGAGATAAACCAAATTGCAACATTTTAAAATTTTTGGATTGAAATGGATGAAATCAAAGACATATATACAACACAAGCACAAATAAAAATTAAATGGACTGGTTTGATTAAATTTAAAAACATGGAGGACTGATTTGAAAAGAGTTGAGACCCATGGACTAAATTGCTTAATCATGAAAGTTCTGGGTGAAATTGAGGCAAAATAAAAGATAACTTTGACTTGGAACCAAATTAAGAAAATTAAAGATTAAAATTAATTAATCAAGATAATTAATTTAATTGAATAATTAATTAAATATTAATTAAAATTAATTAATCATATTTATTAATCATTAATTGAAATAATAAATCTAATTATCTCAAATTAAATTTAATAAATATGATTAATTTATTTTAATTAAAATTAATTAACTTCATTAATCACAAATAAAACTAATTAACCTAATTAATTAGTAAAATTTTTACATATGTATCTTTTTTTTACTTTTTAACTTTTTTAGTTTTTTGTTTTTTTATCTATTGGATCGGGTCGGGTTGACCCAACCCAAAACATAACCCGTCACCCAAATATGCTGAAAACAGATCAGACCTCAGACAAAAAAAACAAAATCTGGACCGAATAAAGATGAATTTAAGGTTCTTGTTCATCAACACTAACAAAAGGAAAATAAATAAGCATCTACCTCAACTCAAATTCATGAATTCAAGAGAACATGTTTGATCTTTTCATTCATAATATCATCATCAAATACAGTCCTAATACATCGAAATCTAAGAAAAATTGCAACAAACAAGGCGAAAGTTTTTTTCGAAGAGAACAGATCAGAATAGGAGGGAGGAATCCCACCCACGGGTCAAGCTCCAACCGTCTCCCTCATTGCTCTTCCCAAAACTTTCAATTTCCTAAGAGGGATTAATCCAGAAAATGTGCTTTCATTGGGAACTCAAATAACCTCCTTTCAACCGTCGCCCCAAAATAGAAATTCTTTCCTCTCAACCGCCGTTGTTACCCCTTTTCTTCTCCACGAAATCCCCTTCTACTACTCTTCGAAAACTCAGAAGGAGACTCCCAAGACTAACCCAAAATCAACCAAAAGTCCCCCACAATCAAACTCCAAAATCAACCCAAAGACTCCCAAAAGACCTCTGCTTTTTGCTCTCTATATATACCCAAACAACAAAATAAAATAAAAATGAAAAAGCTTTGCTCCGGATGCCAATTTTGTCTGGTATTGACTATTTTTTTCTATATGGCTGTAGCGTGCAGGAGGCAAGGGCATGGGATTGGGGCGCAGAGTGCAGGAGGCGCAGCAGTAGGGGTGCAGGCGGCAAGGGTAGGGCTCGGTGCAGCAGAGGGGGGGCTGGCTTGGTGTGCAGGGGAGGTATGATTGCTGGAAGTGGGCTCAGGCGTGTAGAGGTGTATGATTGCTGGGATCTGGGCGCAGAAGGCACGGTCGGGCGTAGGAGCAAGGCAAGGGATCTGGGCTTGGGGCAGAGGAGGGTGCAGGTGGCTGCAGGTTTGGGTGTAGCAGCAGGGGCGCAAGCAAGAGGGCTAGGGATTTGGGCTCGGTGCGTAGCAAGCAAAGGGGAGCAGAAGCGTGCAGGAGCAGGATCAACGCAGCAAGTAGGGGCGTAGGCTCAGTGCAGGGCAGGGGGGGCAGAGCAAAGGGGATTTGGATTTTGGGTTGCAGAGAGGGGAAGACCTTTTTTTTTTTTTTTTTTTTTAATTGGGGCTTTGGGTTTTGAGTTTTGAGTTTTGAGTTTTGGGTAATGGTGAGCTTGGGTTTTTGGGCTTTGGGTTCTTGTCGGTTTTGGGTTTGGGTTTTTGGATTTTGATTTTGGGTTTGGGTTTGGGTTTGAGGCTTAAAAATTGGAATGGGATGGTGTTGGATTGAGCTAGGATCAATATTGGGTATGGGCTGGACTTATAAATTCATCTTGATGAACTTCACCCCTCCAACTTTTGATTTCTTCAATTGAGTTCCTTATTTTAATTTCCTTCATCTCCCTTTTCCAATTTTCTTCACAAAAATCCCCCTTTTTTCTCCTGAACATAACAAGGAAAACAAAAACAAAAACAAAACATATTAGTTAAAATAAAAGTAAAAATAAAATTCTACTAAAATTTGAGTTATGATAGTGTGTGTTCAAAAAAGTTGTAAGTTGTTTTTTGTGTTGCCTGAATGGGAAGGGTTTGCATTAGATTCTAGGGTTTTACATGATGCAATTGTTAGAGAAAATGGACTAAGAGTTCTTGTTGGTAAGAGTAGAATATTAAAATAAATCTCTTTAAATAAATTGATTCTTTTTCATTATTTTTATTGAAAAATCAATTGATGTTGTTATAGGATACTACTATCTTGTTGATACTAGCTATACAAATGGACAAAGATTTCTTGCACCATATAGATATAGAGACACAAGGTACTATTTGAGTGAATGGAGGCAAGGTTTCACACCTTCAAATCCTCTAATGTTGTTAACCTGTGACATGTAAAAGCAAGGAATTCAATTGAGAGGGCATTTGGGTTGCTTAAGATGCATTGAGCAATTCTTAGACATCCACCATTTTATCTTATTAAAACTTAGACTTAGATAATCCTTGCTTGTTGTCTTTTACACAATTTCACTAGGAGAAAAATGACTTATAATCTTTTTGAACACTTGTTGGACCAAGTTGAACCAAGTGTAGAGATGGAGCCAATTCAAAATATTGTTTCTATTGAATCAACCAACGAAGGGAACACTTGAGAAGACAATTTGGCTCAAGAGATGTATGATGAATGAATGAATAATAGGCATCTTATCTAGTTTATGGTGTTCTTGCTAGACTTTTGATTAGTAATGACTTTGATTTTAATTAATTTCTATTTTTGATTTGTTTTAGTAATTACTTTTGATTATTTTTTATTTTAATAACTTTGACTTTTCAAGTGTTGTAATATACGATGGAAGAGATTATTTTTTAAGTAAGTTTTAAATGTTTTCTCCTAAATCTTAGTTTATGTGTTTGATTTTGAAAATTTTCTAAACAAATATTAATGACTGAAACAGGTTAGAGGTTGATGTGTTTGATTTTGTATTGATTTAATTCATCCATTCCAGATTCTTGTGTGGAGTTGATCTAATCTTTTACTGAATGAATAAGCATGTATAATCTGTTTTGAATCATTCTTATAGAAAAGAAAAAATTGAAGCTGAGAAATTGGCATCTTTGGTTATAATATGATGCAATTGTCAAATTTAAATTTCTTGTTTTCAGTTTTTGATGTATAATATACTAAAACTACATTATTTCTTATATTGATTTTCTTTATTGTTGTGAAATCTAAGTTAGTATTGTCTCAATTTTATGGATTTTGTTAAGTTATGAATTTTTTCTTTGGCATGAAATAAAGCTTCTCTATTTATGGTTTTCTTAGTTGACTTTGTTAATTTTTCTAGATAGTTGCCAATGTTGCTTTTGTAGTTTATAAATTTTGATTTCATATGAATTGAATTAGGCTGCTATGCTTTCAAAATTTTCTCTTACTTTAATGGGTTTCACTTGTTAATTAAGAAAAAGCATGGATGAAAGCTTACTAAACTTTTAAGCTAGCCAAAAGTTAGAATTGATTTAATCTTGTTTTCATTTTGTAGGACAAGAAAACTCCTTAAATTGGCTTAGTAACCATTAGAATCTACTGTGTTCTAGTTGTAATTTTTTGCTATTAGGTAAAATTATTATCTTCGAGTATTTGTATTAACTGATAAAATAAAGTAAAGCTGACCACAACTAGGAATTTTTAGTACTTTGTGTTTTTATATGAATAGAGAACAAGAAAAAGAAATGGATCTTTTACTTTGATGCTTTTATATTAATTATTTTTTTGTTATTGTAGGCAAAAATACAACCTTTATCTATTTGTATTACGTGATAAAATAAAATAGTTTCTAAACTTTCTTTCTTTCAATTTTGTTCTTCAAGATTTGAATATTATACTTTTTAATAAATTATTTTGATAAATTGACTTTAGATTGTTTTTTTTTTTATTATATAAACAAAGTTTTTTTTTTTGGATATTTTAATAAATTATTTTGATAAATTAACTTTTTTTTGTTTTTTTTTTATTATATAAACAAAGTTTTTTTTTTGGATATTTTAATAAATTATTTTGATAAATTAACATATTTTGTAGGTTTATAGACTTTTTGTTTCATATAGATAAATTTTAGTGAATGTTGAAAATTTTCAAATATTTTTCATGTTGACAAATTCTAATAACTTTGAAAATTTTTAAATATTTGAACAATGAGTATTTTTGTACATATATATAAATTATAAAGATTATCTCATGTAATCTTATCTATTACCAAATTAAATATGAGATAAATTTTATATTTAATTTAATAAAATACTTAACATAATATTATCTTATTCAAGCCAATGCAATTCAACCTCATCCTATTAACTTTATCCAATTTAATCTCATCTTGCACTCCAAAAATGCTGTAAAAGAATTAAGTCTAGTTATTTAATATTATGAATTGTCCTGTTCTCTTATTTAATCGTTTCCATTTTACAATCTTGTCAAAGCTGTAACACTCAGAGAGACTGTAGTGTTTGTATCAGCCCTCATGGCTCAAACGAAGCAGGGTTTTTTTGAATTGGGATACAGGCATACAGCTCAGGCTAGGATGGCTTGTGCCCTGTGGTGCAACCGAGTCCATGTGGCTTGGGACCCCAACTTCGGACCAGACAATTTGAAGTGTGGCCCGACCTTAATTTGGGGTGGCTCATAGCCATAATGCGGGCTTGCGATAGCTGAGGCCTAACTTACCCATTTTTCCTTTCTAGAAAATAAATTGTCTTTTTTTATAGATAAATAAAATTTGCATTCATAATAAAAAAATTTTAAATAATTCACACAGAAAAAATTTTCAATAAAAAAAATAGATCATACAAATATTTGTATTCAATGTTAATTAAATTCATCGTAATGAGATTTTTATATAATATATATATGTGAAAATAGTGTCTATCAGTCTTATCTCTTAAAAATTAAGAGAAAAATTATTTCAAAATTAATCATTTTAATAAATTTTTATTAAAAAAGACCAAATTACCTTATTTTTAAAACATGCATTAATGTAACTTTTATCTTTTTTTTTTTCATAATTTTTTAGAGATAAGGTGAATAAGCACTGATTCCTATATATATATAAAATATCAAAATTTCAATATATATGTAATTATTAATATCAACTTTAGCAACTAATTGAGAAGACTACATGAGAAATTAACTTCTTGTCATGCCATGCTTTTTAAGTATATTTAAGAAATATTTTCAAATTTAATATTATAAATGAGTAATAAACATTAAGCAGCATATAACAAAAACTGCTATTAAAAACTTAAGGAGGATAAAAATTTTTATTGAAAATCTAAAGAAAATGAGAAAACTTTAAGACAAAACAGCTACACAAATCTTGAATTGAAAAACATATCTAAGTAAGAAGATCCTAGAAAGCTTGTCACTCAAAAAAGGTGAAGAAAGATGGGCTGAGTTTTCTTCTTTTCTTTCTTTTTTTTTTTTTTTTAAGATTTTTATTCTATTTCTTTATCATATAAAGATTATCCATTGAATTCTAAATCTATAGTTAAAGAGTATGAGCCACCAGACTGCCAAGGGAATTAAAGGGGCACATATTGCATCAGTGTTGCAACCAGGAGCCAACCACCATGCTCTCACCCACCAGACTGTCAACAATCATCTTCTTTGGCCCCACTTACTTAAGTACAGGCTAACAATACTCATAAATAGTTCTGATGAAATTAGAATTGCAAGGTATATATATATATATATTTTTAACTTAGGCCGAACTTGTTTAATTAAAACATAGTTATACGGCATCTATAGAAAGGACTTTCATCTCCATGATAAGAACACATGATAAACTAGAGAAAATCCAACTAGAGACAGCAATTAGACTAGATCAAGTTCACCAAAGAACAAATATAAAGAAAGACAATGAAAATCACACGAACAACCTCTAAGGAACTTGAGATTTACAAATTCCTTTGATCGACCGTTCCAAAAGCTGAACATCCTTCAATCTATCCTTGAAGATGAGCTTGGTCTCCAAGATGCCAGGGCAAGGAGATCAGCGGCCACCCCTAATGCCTGCATAGTTGGCTTGTTAGCCACCAGATCTGAGGAAACAAACAAAGAAAACAAGAAAACAATAAAGAAAGTAACAAAAAGGACCACTGGAGGAGCCCCAAAAGAAACCGACAAACCACTTAAGGTGGCCATCGGACACTGGAGCACAACAATTCAGCTCCACCGTGCATGAGAAGCCGGAGGGCTTTTGAGCACCCAAAAGCTTGTGAAGCCAAAGGCTTCCGAGCACCAAAAAACAAAAAAACCAAGCTTGAGGAAGGTGTAGTCAGAAGGAGGAGGCTTCTAGAGAAGAGAGAAAGAAAGTTTTTTTAATTAGAATTGCAAGATTAAAACTCTTTATTAGTATATTTTGAAAGAGGAAGAATACTATTCTTCACCTTTAGATAAAGTGATTTGTCACTTGACTATTAATTAGTAGAAACACTATCTTAGATTGAATGCTCGATTCTTTGGAGATATCTTTTCCCATCCCCTTTAGTATAGTAGGCACAATTGTAAATTATTAAAAAAAGAAAAAAAAAAGAAAAAAAGAGAAAGAGGAAGAGGAAGAGGAAGAATACTAATACGTGTGTGAGTTGAATTCAGGCTGTTGGAGTGGTTTGCAATTGATAGCCACAACTAGCTCACTAACAAGGAAAACTTGAACACCACGGCTACTCATTGTTGGTCCTTGCTCCTCCTGGAATCCATCCCATTCTGTCGTAAGGTTCAAAAATAAGAATTAAGATAGAAAAAAAAAAAAAAAGAGATTAAATGTTTGGTCATTCAATTATCTTGTAAAGAGTTAATGATAATTTTTTTCTATTAAAAGTAAAAGATTGTAAATTCAAATTACATGATATGTGAATATAATAAGATAAAGAATGAAGAAAAATGTTATATTTTATTGTACAATAAAAAAATCATTTTATAAGAAATATATAATTTATAAAAAAATTACTATAATATAATTAATATCTTCATCTTTATTGTTACTACTCAAAATATAACTAGACAACTAGGAATGCATATAAATTAAAAAAAAAAAAGAAAAAAGAAAAAAGAAAAAGAAAAAGATCAAACCCAATTGGGAACTTGATAGTAACGTTTTCATTTTATTAATTTAGCGTGCTTGAATTGCTAAGCCATATGCAGATTGTCACAAGGACACAAGAACAAAAAAATTATTGTAATGTTCACTACTTCGTCTCCTATATCAACTCAAAGTATCCACGTATTGGACAAGTAATCAAGGAAAGACGTCTCAAGTTCATGAGCTACTTATATTTGTTCTAAACAAATTGAGTTTAAATTTAGATTTGAGCTCCAATTCTTTCAAATTTAATTAAACTCAAGTTTGACTTTGATAAATAACAAGTAGTTTGATAGTCTTAAAAAAAATAATAAAATAAAGTAAACAAATCAACTCTCCACATCTTTCATTGAATCTCAAATTTAATAAGTATAAGTCAAATTCAAATTGAGTAGTAAAATGACTTATGTTATAGCTCATGATTGATTTAACAATTTTTTATGTTTAAGTAAATTTCTAGTTATTAATAATAGTTGAGTCACACTTATCTACGAATACTACAAATACTACGTATAATTGTTTACTACATATGATTGTTTAATGAATTCAACCCCCCTTCTTCTTCCTATGCTGTAAAATTGAAGCTAGGCTAATCATGTAATAATAGTAATAATACAAAAGTTGATCTTAATATTGATTAAATAAATAATTTTTATTTTTAATGCTATTTTTGCAATCAAAATTTTTAAAAATTAAGGGAAAAAACACTTAAAATTAGATTGTTTATTTAAATTTTCATAAAAAAAACTTAAAATAACTTTTTTTAAAGCATAAATAAATTTACTTTGATTACAATGTAGGTTTAAGATATCTTTCTTCTTTATTTTTATTTCTTTTTTAAGGATAAAATAT